ATAATGGGAGGCCAGGAAATCGGAGCATATGAGGTTAACTCAGAATCAGTGATAACCACCGCGCGTAACACCGTATATGTATAAAATTTGCATGTTTCAAAGGGATTTTACGGTAACAACATGTTTTTTATTGTTGATTGTACATGTTTGATACACTTCTTTTAACGTTTCTATGCTATCCCGATACCCAATTTCAAATGTCAAGCTTGACCACCTCATTGGTTCGGGAAACCCCGCTCAGCGCTGATAACATTTGTCACGCGATAGCTTTGAAAACGAGGCAATTCATTTTGTAAACACGAGCACAATGATGGCTTGAAGAAACGACAGTGAAAATAGTGACATACTCAGCAAAATAACTTATTCCAGCACCGAATATTGTTGTGAGTGTGGCAAATATTGTTTGATGATTCTCAGTCAATCAAGAATTACTACATAAGTAACATTAAAATGTAGTCGGTGAGCCACTATTGATTACAGGTGTTCTATGCGCATCATATATGACGCAACAATTTGCATGTCCAGAGTGTTGATCAACAGGATTTCCTTTTCACGATTATTGATTAACCATTTAATGTGCATATTTTGGAGAAAACCTACTGTCATTGTTCATAAGGTGATACTATTGATATAAATATGCAATAACAAAGAACCAGTAAAAAGTAACGTTTTACTGTGATTTCGTTATAACTGCACTGTTGAAGACTTTTCTCAGAATCAGGAGAATGTATATCACATTTTAAACAATAACATGACAAAAACCCAATGTCACCAGATATATTTTTAATACTGAAGACAAACAAGTGAATAACATCTTTTAATTTAAATTTAGAGTGAGTTAGATACATTGGAACAAAACAAAGAATTAAATAGCATCATACAGCTGTTTCCTTCTTGTAGGATCGTCAGTGATGATATTGGCTTAAATTTTGAAACTTATGAAGTGACCGAGGAAAATCCATAGCGATGAAAAATGTCTAAATGTAGATGGGGAGGTTCACTAGCTCCATAATTCAAGAAATTTCTTGTATATATATACAATATAATATTAAACAAGGGAACAACAAGTCTACCAGCAGTGTCTACCATCTGCAATCTAAAAGATTGTACAGTGGACACACAAATGAAAAGCACATTTTAATACAAAAAGACATGGCGTGAAACCGCATGTTTCGACATCAATGTAACCAACAATTCCAGTGAATTCGAAAAAGTAATTTCAAATTATATCCATATCTTCGTTATTAGAAAATATATTCTGGATATGTGTCACGTGGTCGTCAGAGTTGCTACCGAACGCAATATTCATTAAGACATGTGGGTGATTTATGTAGCTTCAAATCCAATTTGGAAACAGCGCACACATGTACCAACTTTAAGGCTACCTAATCCACTGTTAAGATTACAATTAGGTCTTACCCTAAAAGAACTGGTACAAGTGTGTGGTGATATCGAAAGAAATCAAAAGAAAATCATATGCTTTCCATCTAGACTTTACGATGAAAAATGTCGATGATCCCCGTATTTTCATGTGTTTTCGTGTTCGATCTCAGTTACTGACATCATAATGTTATTCTTCATCTTTTGTTTTCAAAACACTCTTTTCTCCAGCATGCTGTAGCTCCATACGTCTTCAGAGTTAGATACAATAGAGCCAAATCAAGAACAAACTGTGTAATATAGCTATTTTATGCTTCTAGGGCTCACCAGTGAGGGATATTTTAAGAGAAATTGTTGTTGTATTTTGTCAAACTGTTATTTTAGCAACCTATCAGAGGGTTTGCTAGTTTTTTACTGAACTGCGTCTAGGTTATGATAAAAGTTTATTCCTAAAGAATTGATCAGTTGACGGTTACAACATCGGTGAACGGCAGTTAAACAAACAAAACAGAACCTACCTTTACAACATATCTTCATGGACGAGTTAAGTGGTCACGCCCTTTCGTATCAGGCTGAGACAACGATGGTCAATTATGTTACGGATAAAACAGTTATCATAAAACGATCAAGTCTAGTATGGTGATTAAATGTTATGCTACCTTGAGAACTTGAACGTTTGTTTATAAAATTACATGATGATTGAATAGTTTTTATCTACATTAAGGATAAAAAGTCGATCATTGTCAAACGGGGTCCCTCTATGTGTTAAAGGTGAGATATTTGCATGATGTATTTCAATTACAAAGTACGTATGTGATAAAAACCTGTGACAACTGTCTGACGGAATTCATAAACTCACACGATAAGAAAGTGTGACAGTTGTCTGACGGAGTTCATAAACTCACACGATAAGAAAGTGTGACAGTTGTCTGACGGAGTTCATAAACTCACACGATAAGCAGTTGTCTGATAGAGTTCATAATCTCACAAGATGAGAAAGCGTGACAGTTGTCTGACGGAGTTCATAAACTCACACGATAAGAAAGCGTGACAGTTGTCTGACGGAGTTCATAAACTCACACGATAAGCAGTTGTCTGACGGAGTTCATAAACTCACAAGATGAGAAAGCGTGACACCTGTGTGACGGAGTTCATAACCTCACACGATAAGAAAGCGTGACAGTTGTGTGACGGAGTTCATAAACTCACACGATAAGAAAGCGTGACAGTTGTGTGACGGAGTTAATAAACTCACACAATAAGAAGTTGTGACAATTTGTTTGAGTGAGTTTATTTACGTATACGATAAAAAGTCATGGCAGTTGTTGAATGTCGTAACGACGAGAGAGTGACACATATCTAACTTTTGTCTTTGAGCTTCATTTCCATAACAAAAGCGATAGTATTGTTGAGTTTTCGACATGAAAATGTAGGAAAAGTAGGTATTTTTCATATAGGTTTATAAACCTGTAATTTGTGTTATAAGATACAGAGAAGTGTGGGAACATGTTGGTATGTGTATGTTGTTCTTTTTTTGGCGTTTGCATAGAATTTCAAATAGAAGTTCAAATAGCTAAAACACTAATAACCGTATCGCTTCTCTCCCTCTCTCTGCTTTCCATATCTAGAAATGAAAATATATCCTGTCCCTGTCCTCCCCTGACCTCAGTGACTACTCTATTCCTTTGATTGCCGAGTGTGAATCTAACGGTATAATAAGTCATATTTTCTATACTCTCATATCTCCTTCGTAGATAATTCAAGCTTTTTATCTATTTTAAACATCTTCTGTTTTCAGGTAAAAATCCAAACTTAGGTCACAATGACCATTCTAAAGACGTTCTGTCTTTGTTGTCTTAGAAAAAAAATCTTATCAAAAGTGTGTGTGTTCGAACTTTGATGTAGTTTGTGTTACTGGAATCCCATCGATAATAGCAGGTGATAATATACCCCTCAAGCGTTATATTCTTGTACCGTAAAGATGATGCAACTTGGGTGGAGAGATGAATGTTTACACTTCATAGGCAAATGTCTTAGATCTGACTTCGAATTCAAGATAGGAAACATGTTATTGCAAAGCCAGTTAAAAAGAAAAATAAGATCTTTCCAATCAAGACCAATGGCATAACTTTCCAGGTTTATCATTCTTAAATAATTTGCAGGTTGAAAATTAAAATGAAAACAAAACACAAATCTGAATTCCTTGACTCGTATGTTACACATTCTTAAAAAATTATATAACATTATTATTACAATTCTTACATTAAATGCTTCTTAAGGAGAGAAAATCTACCTTATTTCATTTAAGAATAAGTATATATCTTATCCTACTTCAGTATTACAATCATTTATATTGTCAATTAATGATAAGGATATGCACATCCATCGTGGATATTAGGTTCTTACATTTCACAAGAATTAATTTTTTTCTGAAGTTTCATTTCTGACTCGTCTAGTTCGTCAATCTAACCTTTGTCAAAGCTTCTTACTGCATTTTAAAGTCAGGAATACACTCTTAATGCGACACGTGTGGAATCAATGGTAAGTCAATTGTGAAGGACTTCAAGGAGCTTTCGGCCAATTCTTTACTTGATCGATTTTCTTGAGCTTGGTGGTACTGTCTTCCAACAGACTGTGCCCCTCTCTTGCCCGACTTGTTTTGTTTTCATACGAGTCTAATTTAATCAAACAGCTGGTCAAAACAGATCATAATAGCCTTGCAAAGTCCTTACATTTCACATTCAGACATATTGATGACGTCTGGTCTTAAATAACAAGAAGTATTTTGACTATGTCCATCGTATACACCCACCAGAAAAGGAAATCAAGGACACGGCAGACTCTTCTACATGAGTCGCTTACATCGATCTTTTCCGAAAACGAAACCAACGTGGAATGCTTTTAACAAACTTATAAGGTGATTTAAGCTTCCTGTTGTGTATATTTGGATAGTAACACTACTGCATCCCCAGCCAATGGCTGATGACGATAAGTGAGAATATTTTTTTTTCTTTGTGCGATAGGAAGCTGGACGTGTTAACAGCCCATTTATAACACAACTTTCGTAAAACAGAAAACTAGTATTGCCTAACAACAGATTATCATCATCCAACCTATCTTTTCCAAATACAAACTCAAATTCAATACACCTAGGGTAAAATGTGAACAAAGGAAATATTTACACGGAGTCCATGTAAAGTTAAGAGTAAAACATCTTCTGCTTGTTAGAAGACATCCGCCATGTAGACCTTGGTTAATACAAGCAAGTAATGCCACGTTTTCAAATGAGAACAAGATATACAACAACGAAACCAACAAGTCAAACCACGTGCATCAAATACGTCCAGGTTAATGTCACACAAAGAAATAGAATATTTCTCAATGAGATCACCATGGTGTCTCTACATCTTTCCCATAATTTTCTGTATCTTTTGAACCCTTGTTACGAGTTTGTCACGAATATCGGGATAATGGGAACAGGCCCTTGAATATCGAATCAAATGTGGCATGTAAATGCCATAGGTTGGAGATGCAATATATTCATATAATGCAAACACTTGCACGATTTCTAAAATCAATTTAGATGAAAAGGGTATATGAAATAATAATAATAAACCGAATACTCGATTACTTTTATTAGAAAAATCAAATGACAATAAATCCATGTTAGGGATAAAACAAAGGATAAATGAAAGAGAAGAACATGATAAATAAAGAACAAGCTGAATTGTCGAACAAAGTCACGATGAAATGAAAATAAATGAACACACAGGAACAAGAATGACACTGACCATATTTTATAGGCTGTTTAACATACTCACCAAAATGAAACTGATATTGAAAACCTTTGTCCGTTTTATGTGTCCGTGGAAAATGGACTCTACATATATGCACATAGTACAATACTTGTGCATTCTAATAATAGCTCTTTCGACAATAATAACATCGAAGTAAAGCATATGTTCTATTGACTCAGAAAATGAGGATGGTTTTAACTCAAAGATATATGAAGTTCGATGTCAACTGGAATATGATGGCGGGCAATGTTCGTAACTGTCTGATTATACCTAGTTGTTTGAAGTTCCTGGGGCTCCACAATATCTTGCACAACAAGATACATGAAGTTTCTGATGTTCCAGAATATCAAGAACATAACGATATCTAAAGTTCCCAGATAAGATTTTGTCATATCACTTTTCAGATTTTTTTTTATCATTGGCTTTCTTTCTTCCGATCACTAAGATCACTAAAATGTTTCTCTGTCGCCTCCCAGGCTTCAAATTTTAGGTTTTAGTGACGAGACCTTGAATGACGAAATAACTGTGTGATGCAGTTTAATTCATTATTTGTTGCTACTGTATCGAACTCTAAATTTGTTTTGAAAGATGCTATTTTTGTGTGTCTTTTGTACAGTATTCTATAAACATAAGGATGTACATCTCAATCAATGTCAAGTTTCATATCTGGATGTGTCAATACCTCCTCTATATTGGAGAATATGTATCGACGAAATATAATTGCATTGCATCCGAATATTGTTATGCACTTCTTACATTTGTATATAAAACAACAATTACATTCATGTTTCATCTCTCAGGACAGGTGGTTGTCTTCAGTCTTTGATGCATGGTAATCACATTCTTTCAGCAATTCATCCACCTATGTTGGTATCTATGCGTATATCACTTTTCGCGGCCGTAAAGACACTGTCTCATCTATGAAAAAACCTACATGAACTACAAGAGGAGAAAGGCCATGATTACTAGGAGGCCGAAGATTGGCGGAAGCCCCTTATTTGTCAGAGTCGTCGAGGCGTTGATGTCGCTTATCAGATTCTGCAAGGGTCCATTTCGGACGCCATTACAGTCTGTTCTCATTAAGGTTAAGAAGAGGTCCTCAAAGAAGGTGGCCACATCGGTATTACATGGAGACAGGACTGAACCAGAGGTACAAAAGGTGACGTTCTTGACTGGTCTGCATATAAAGATAAGCACACATTTTCACCAAACATGTGGTAATGCTGTTCGAAAACTATACGTCTATCATTTAGGACTACGATTGAGAGAACAGAAAAATAGATTTGCAATTGAAAGGAGTGGTATTTTGAAAGAAGTCATAATTTAAGAAAATATAAAGATTGAAAGAAAACAAAAACAACATCAAATTAACAACATACACATACAAGAAGAAAACAAATTACGGTTAGAACTCGATGGAATGTTGTTGTTGATGTTGACTAATCTATCTACATACGTACCCGCAATAGGTCATCCTGTCTTTGGCGGCGTCCACTCCAATAGAGGATAAGTTGAAACCCACAGCCGCCAGTGCTGCGAAGCAGCTAGTTATGTTTTCCCCTTTAGGAATTAAACACGGTATCATTTCTTTGATATCTAAATGAAGAAGAAAAACTAATAGTTATCTCCCTTGCATCGAAACTGATTTTGGTATCAACAGAGGTTATAGGATATGACGGTTTCTGTTCCTAAATCTCATACATAGAAACATATTGTGAGATACAAAAACAGCTGTGCTTTATTATCATACAAGTCAACCAATTGTGTTACAAGCTGTTGTGATATTCGTGTTGAAAGGTGTTATTTCTCTTAACGTTCTTTGAATGTACAGAGACGAAAACTTTCCATGCTTTCTATTTTCTAAAAAAAACTTAAACAAACAAAAGAACAAAAATGTAACTTTGATATTGAAACCGACGGCCAAGCATACCTTGTATCCTAGACGGTTGACAAATGTATTGTGATATTGTATCAGCATAGGAGAACTGATTAACGTCAACAAGTGCCTGAATGAACTTGTCTATAGAGTTCATTGAGGACGGCAGTTCTTGGTAGACACACGTCAGGAGATCAGACAGCTCCCTTGATAGGTATGAATATGAGTGTATGAGGTATTTATAAAATAAACCATAATAGGGTTTTCATATACTGGAATGAGGTCTGTAAATCACATACAATGTTGAAGCATTGGTAGTAATGTAGCTTTAGCTTATAATCACATACAGCTTTATTAATGAAGCAAAACAGTGAAAACTGCCTACAAGGGAGTTTATGTAGCATAACAAAACACACAAAAAAGCAAAAATTTACGTCACAGACCAGAGAATAGTAAAATTTAACACTAAAATTCACCTAAAGGAATGATAAGATAGCAAAACAGTCAAATCATATAGAGTAGAATTTAATTTTTAAGATAATAGGAATAATAAGAATATAGGGGATTTAATATAGCTCACATAATCGGACATAAAAGAAATAAGTGTTTTTATTTAATTCTAAAATACATACATGAGATTTAATATATAAATATACATATATATATATATGTAAGTATAAATCACATATATGAATCACAATTATTGTCGCATTAAAATCAAATCGTAATAAAGGTACAATCTCATAAACGGATCAAATAATAGTTAATCACATACAGATGACGCTGTACCCAACCTGATTGTTAGCAATTATGGGGACAATGTTTCATTGATAACTTACCCACAATATACATCGATCATATTACTGATCAGCGTCTGAATATCTGCTGAAGATGGAACAGTAGCATCGGTAGCGAATTCTCTAATGACACGGATTGAGCTAGGCAGAGTTTGTAGAGCACACAACAGTGGAACTGCCATGACTGGATTATTTGTCCCCGCAGCAGCCAGCTTAGCACAATCGGAGGAGAGGAGATCGGATTCCACTTTCCGAATCGTTGTCCCCAGTTGAGGACTACAAGATTTTATCTGGATAGCCATACACCGAGAAACGTCACCCGCTATCCTGAAATATTTACAAATTTACCAATAAAAACTGTGAACTCAAATAAGGAAGTGAATATTATTTGACTATCGTTTCATAATGCCTCATACACTACACCGATTTCCGATGATATTCAATAAAATATACACTGACACTGAGATTAAAGCATAATGAATATGAACACTTGCTCTTTAGAAACCTAAATTTTGGGTTTGTTTTGTACTCATCAGTATGGCTTGAGGTTCCTTTACTGTTTACACTGCTCTCGTTTAGGAGCATGACATTACTAGCTTCGACGGAGTTGGACTGACAAAACTTTCACAGGAATGTCTGTATAAATCTTTTTCTGTTGTCACGTCAGTGTTTTCTTTACTATTTCGTTGAATATATACCTATGTTACTTAAAGAGATAAGTTTATATATTCTTACTGCGTGAAAGATAAGATGTATTTGTTGTAGTAAGCAAAGGATTTGCACTTGCTTCAGCATTGATATAATTGTGGAAACTCACGGGCAGTAGGTTTCGAGGTCCCCGAACATCATTTCTGGCCTCGATTGCTGGAATGTTGGGCCCGTATATGACATTAAAACACAAGCTGTCATCGGCACAGCCGCGTTTATTAGACAGTCCACGTTGTTAAATATATCTGAAAATCAATCATATATCGTTATCAAATGTTTAAATAATTTTTGTCTTACTTTTGGTACATAGTTCATACAAGCCACTTCAATTATTTCAAATGAATAGTATCCTGCTATTTTTCTGTTGGTTTATTTTAACAAAAAGGAACCAAATTCTGTCCTAATATAGTGCTATCTGTGTATCATGACACATGGTTTAAAGGAACAATGGATGACGACATACAGATGAGCTACCTACTACGATGATCCTTGAAGTGCTGATTAAAGGTAATATGGCGAAAAAAATCGTATGACAGATATTTCAATGTAAATATGTTCAAATGACATCCATAGGTGTAAAATTTGTTGCTAAGTACAAAGCATATATTAAACATGTTGAGATCATTTGACATCTTTTGATACGACTTTATCGTGTGATTAATTTCTGATAAATCTACCACATTGTCAAATTGTTTAAAGTTTTTCTGTAATGTTAATGAAATGTTTTATGATATAATGGAACGGAAGTTTCAAGCACGTAACCAGACGGGAGAGGAAAGGTTAATTTCATATGAAATAAATGTATATGGAGTTTATTCGTGATTACTATCATACTGTTAGTAAACTGATTATATCGATCATATTTTGCTGAATTATGAGTTGAAATGTTTGATCGATATTTGTTTCAAAACGATTACAGAAATGATTATTTTGTAGGTAAGGAAAAAACTTTGATTCAGATGAACTCGAGCTGGCAATAGGTGTGCACCGACGTGTCATCAGTAACTCGATATATGGTGTAGCTGATATTCATTTCATCGATATCGATATTAATAATAATTTTCTTGATTGATTAAAGGTGATTATGGTCATATTTCAAGTAAATTCACTTAAAACATGAGGACAACTACCTAATACCATGTACGATATGATGTATCTTACCTGCTTTTAGTTCACATATAGATGTCATGGATTGTTGCAGGTTATCCAAATTAACAAATGTCTTCAACATCAAATCCACAGGCCTCATGGAATCAGGTCCCACGCATTGTTGTATCTCTGGTACGCCTCTAACGGAGTAAAGTTAATTATAACTTGATATGACAACAACTCAAATGGTAAACTGTCAATGGTACACGACTGATCAGAAGGATAATGACAAACTAGAGATTATCCTTTACGATAGAAACAAAGTGTTGTCCCTAGGTTTCAAACAAATACATTGCCCCAAAAGCTGTCGTATTTTCACAAATGTTTTCCACACTTTACGCTTTACTGATAGCTTATTTGTACACTCCCGAAACGTGTCCAGCATTGCTTTCGAGTAATTAATATTCCTTTTCCAGTCAACAGTCTAATGATGCATATGTGACTTAGAAATAGTATTAAATACACTAATTCAATAAGCACTTTCTATACTTATGAAAAATGATTATTTTCTTATTGATAACAGGTCCAAGTTCTTTTGAAATAAAAAATAGTGTAAAATATGTCACCAGGTCCTCTGAATTTTAAACACGTCATAAAAGGGCGTAGATACAATGGAATGTTGAACTCATTAACCGCATAAACATGTCGGGATATATTAAGCGCATTAGTAAGTTTTCAAATCATTGTTACAGTGTTAAAGAAACAACAAAATAGAAGAATACAAATCTTCAGTAATACGTACTCGCAAAATTTGTCAAAAACGTTTTCTCCGATCTGAGTGGTAATATTCCTGACAAGGTCAGACCATTCCTCATTGAAGACCGAAGTCTGTAAAAGTAATCTTTCCCTACTTTGTTGATAGGAAGTCCTGGTTACGATTGTGGTATATAATGCCTTGTACATCGACGTGGTTGTCGCACTGCTCAACGGCGAGACAGTTGCTCCAGGTGAAAAAGGTGAGATAGGCGACGCAGGCGATACAGGAGAGGCAGATGAGACAGCAGTCATTTTAGACGAGAAAGGATTATCGGGTGTTGAGGTCATTCCAAACTGTCCTCCAGGAAGCAGACAGGATAGAGATTTCTAAAGCAAACACGAAAAAATGGTTTTATGATCACTAGCATTAAATCCCCTGACATACAAAGTTACATCACCTAACAAATACAGGTAGTTACATGCTATTTATAAAATCACTACCGGTATGAATAACATGATCGTTATATTTTCCACGTTTCACCGGAACAAAAGTTCACATAACACTAGCTATAGGTTTTATTCCAATACTTAATGAGAACTTGTCCATGTCTCGGCGGGCTTATCCTCACTTACTTACCATTATATCTAGTATTGACGTCTTGTAGGCATTACACACACAGGTCAGGAAGATGGAATCAAAGGTCGTACTGTGGACAGGAAATAAAGCTTGTAGGTAATGCAGTCTCAGATAAGAGAAACACATGGTAAAGAATAAGTAACATAGTATCTGATAAGGTGGGGAACATGTAACTGGTGAGTAATGTGGTGCTGTTAATGAGTGTCTTAGTGTAACAATAAATTGAAAGAGAAACTCAAGAGTAACATATTTGAGATAGTAAAGGTATAGCTTATGAATCTAAAAGTGCAGCTGAAGAGAGACATAACACCTGATGCGTAACATTGTATACAAATTTAATAACTTCATGCTTAATTAGGTGGTGATGAGTAATTAAGTATACACGAACGGTACCAAAATGTGAAACATATGGTGATGTTAGTTTAACTAAATAGTACCATAAAATGATAATATGATACCAATTAGAGCCTCAATGTGACTGAAGTGTATCATAGTAACAGAGAAATAGTGAAGTGTAAATGAGGAGTATTTTTTTCTAATTAAAGCCTCAATGTGACTGAAGTGTATCATAGTAACAGAGAAATAGTGAAGTGTAAATGAGGAGTATTTTTTTCTAATTAGAGCCTCAATGTGACGGAAGTGTATCATAGTAACAGAGAAATAGTGAAGTGTAAATGAGGAGTATTTTTTCTAATTAAAGCCTCAATGTGACTGAAGTGTATTTTGAAGTGTAAATGAGGAGTATTTTTTTCTAATTAAAGCCTCAATGTGACGGAAGTGTATCATAGTAACAGAGAAATAGTGAAGTGTAAATGAGGAGTAAATATTTGTTAAACTGTGAAATTAGGCCTTGGTAAGTTTGTAGTCTTTTTCCCAACATCATCCTTATTTAAACAAATAAAAGTTGTTTACACTAACCAAGAAATGATAAAGATGGTTGAAATATGGTGTTTCTGACCTGGTACACATTTTAAGTGGCGTTTCAATTTTTTCTTGTATATGAAAACGTAAATATAGTGTAATATGGTGCGTGTATTTCACGTTTGAACTTTGGCTCTATCCTATAGAAATATTATATATAATAGCAAGAATGGTTTAATTTCACTATGTATATTATATATCATAATCCACAGAGTTGGTATACATATTCACCAGTCTATAACACTTTCCGGTACTTCCTGTGGCGTACATGTTCCTTCCTGTGATGAAGACGTCGAGATAAAACTCATAAACAGCAGTAGAAGATATTTTCCGCCCATCTTCATTCTCCACTTATCAGCCAATATTGATAGCTAGAATATAATAAGTAATGAATTTGAAAAGTTAATTTTGACTGTATCTCCGATAATTTGTGAATAGGTTGAGATCAAAATATATAAATAAATATATTGCTAAAAAGAAATAATTCAATTTATTTGAAAGATTATTGTTTCTTTTGATATGTACAGTCCAACAGGTTAATGAACACAGTGGAATATTAGCTGATAATTAGCTGATGTCTATAAGTTTACTCAAACAAAAAATCTGTTATAAATATAGCATGTTCTATATGAACAGTCTATCAAAGTTAGAAAGGAAAACACAACTAGAGATCAATGACACATTTTTTTCAATAACACAACAGAACATACAAATACAACATATAAGAGAAACTTTCGCCGCAGTTAAATTTTCACTCGTATTGAGCATCGCCAAAAGGGCCAGATGAAAACCTGGTTAACGTCAGGTGTTTCAGTTTAAATAAACGCTTTTAATGGGTATCTTTGGACGAATTAAAAACCAGACGGAAATGAACAGTTTTAAAGCGAAGTCGGAAAAATCCCAGAGCAATTGTTTCACTGTTTTATGGTTGAATTATTGTCATAGTGGAACACAAGGATGTGAAGACTTCTGAAAAAAACTACTAATTTTGATAACACAGATGGTAGTGTGTAGCTTCTGAATAACTAAACTAAACTTTTCCGGTATGTAAATCAACTGTTACTTTTCTTTCAGTATTATAACTAAACATACAAGTAGTTTTTGTTTTGTTTGTTTGGTTTTTAATGTTTGTTTAATCTAATTATGTCAGTAGCCAACTGCGGAATCGTACAGTAATGAATTGTAATATTATCATGATGATATCGTCATACTTAATTAATGTTATTGAGAGTCAGCAGTGCAATACTGATGTTTCAAGCATTGTTGTTTGTTATCGTTTTACGATATTTCAATTATGCTGTTGCCTTTGGTCATGCTATGTATTCCTAAATATTGATAACAAGGTTGGTGTTATCAATTAACAAGTAAAGTTATTAATGGTAACTATTTCACAAATCTATCGTGTTACCTGTCATTAGAGTTGTCAACAGAAGACTGCGAACCAGTTACGAAAATCAATAGTCGATCAATCGGATATATACTTATCCCTTCGGGAGCCCCTCGTTATACATGGGCTGGCATAACATTTACCATGAGAGGAACACTTTATCAAAAGAAAGTAAGACATAACATGTGCTGTCTGCTGTCATTGTTATCAATTTAGGAAAACAAAACAATACCATCTTCTTTTTTAAAGAAAATAAAACCGTATGTCCGTCTATCAGTCGTTATATTACTATACTGAAAAATAACTAGTTGTCATGTTGTTTATAAATATAAGTATTGTTATTGAATCATTGTGTTGTTTATATCAAAATTATTAATAATAACTTCGATATATAGAGACATTTACATCTGTTTATTATCGTTGATTTTGGTTCTATTACCGTATTTACTGTAATTAATAATATGTTTTCATACATCGTGTTCTTAGGAGTATTTACCGTTACTTACCGTATTAATTATACACAAAAAATGCCCTTCGTAAATAGTTTATCTACCTATTCAAATCTTACTTCCAGCCGTGATGCCCATAAATTAAAAAAAAAGAAGATATTTTTGTTACCAATAGCCATGTCTTAAAATATTCGTCAGTATTCCAATTGTTTTTGTTTGTCAGTGGCAAGCGTATTGTTCTTAATTAAGTTGCTTTGTCTCATCTATGTAGCAACTTTAATTTTGAATCATATCATAGTGCTATCAGAATGTGATGACTTATTTCCATTTTTGTGTGGTTTAGATAATGCCTAACCTTTAAAGTTGGTGAACAATTAGTCATATTTTTGACAGTAAATGTGACGCAAGCACCTGTTACAATAAATTTCAAGAAACCTTATACGTCATTGATGCCTTTTAAATGGGAAAGCTAACAGTGAAAACATGCCCGGAGGCATAAGATATTCAACAAGGTAGGCGTTACATACCGACAACAAATGCACAGCATAAACAAGTAAATATATACTATTTTTAAGGCACACTATCACATATTAAAACATACTTACGTAAGCGATATAATCGAACGCATGCAGATAGGAATATTACGTAAAGTACAAGAGCTGTAGTCAATCTAGTGAATGTTCCACAAATGTTTCGATTTCTAACCGGCACATATTCATTGATAACCATATAGTCAGTATTCCAATTGTTTTTGTTTGTCAGTGGCAAGTTGTATCATGCAGCTTTTAGGCTTTTAAATTAATTCACCATAGTATGGCGGATTCTTAACTTAAACATAATACCTTGATCATTGTTGTAGCGATTACGGATTGTTTTAAAATTAATGTTCCCTTCAAACAATTCATATCATTTTCGAAATGATTTTTTCCATAATTGTGAAATATTACGCTAAAGTACAAGAGCTGTAGTCAATCTAGTGAATGTTCCACAAATGTTTCGATTTCTAACCGGCACATATTCATTGATAACCATATAGAGTCATGTCTACAGCGAAACAATACTTCAAAACTTACCTGCCCAGTTTGTGCGAGGTTCGCTCGTGTGACAAGGAGTGATTTGTAGTGTTATAAATTTATGTATTAGCTACTTCCTGCGCATGTCCCAACATAGACACTCCTGTCTTGTGACGATATGTTTTAATTGGAAAAGCATAACATGATTTTCGGTTTAGATATTACTACATCCACAAAACTATAGTTTACTTTATTTACTCCATTCCGAAAAAAGTACTCCAGAAAAGTAAAAGATATATATGTGATTGGAATTAAATTATATATTTCTGTGATACTAGATTACTGATATTTTACTACGTTGATCTGTACTGTCTATTTCATTAAATGCTTGAGAGGATAAAAGTTGCTTAATAACCAGTCCAGTATCTTAGTCTCCTACATAGACAGATATATTTAGTCTATGACCAGTTGTGTTGTGCATGTGTTATAAATTAAAAGGACTGTGTGTCACATCATAGTGTGCGATAGTGTTGTAACTGAATATTAATAAATATCTTTTCTCTCACTTTTACAAAATTTGAAGTTAAGAATAACAGCAGATATAGTGCAAATAGATGAAACCATGCATAGTAGTAGTAATTCTATACCAAGAGGTAGAGTATGTGTTATCCCACATACCCACACATTTATTTTATTTGTTGATTTGTCTTTGTCCTACCTCTTACTCTGACAGCGAAAATGTTGATACTGTAAATGCAGTGCCTAATATAGGAAACTATCTTGGTTACGTCCATGAAAAGGAAGAGCATATTTAAGAAGGATAAAAAAGAATCCTTTATCTGTAGTAGTGTCATTATTTGGCAATATTGCTTTTAACATATCCGTAGTATTTTAGCTCTATGCTTTCGTATGTAACGGAAATCAACCTACCGCAAATATTGTACGAGGTGCATTGCGGCAAAAATTTTAGCGCACACGCGCGGAAATAACACGTGAGAATGCGAGTGAGATACTGAGCGGATGCGATGTAATGTGTAGTAAACATGTTTATCCAGTAAGTATTGTCTATGTATAGTAATTAAGTGTTGGATGTTGGGAAGTTTTACCTGGCGCACTGGTCACTTTTGTACAGAGCGCTGAGAGCTTCAACATCGTCGAAGTATGATAATAGCCAGCCTAGCGACCATGAGAGGTAGCGGCACTAGAGCCTAGAATTGTAAATGTGAGTACTATGTGTAAATATTAGCGAAATTTAATATAGAACCTATTTCATAATATATTTGATTGAAGGCATGTTTTGTTTAAAAGAAAAGTTGATATTTTGGAGGTGTGTTAATTAAAATATCGGGCGTGGTCGATTTAATAGATAGGTGAATCCGAAGCAGCATAGTTTTAATGTGTGTGTTGATTTATTTATAGTGTATACTGAACGAATCAGTCTGAGGGCTCGGCGGACTTTTTTCAGAGTAAACCCTCTTCACACTGAAGAGGTAGGTATCTTCATATATGTAGTATAATTGGATACCTACTGTTATTTCTATATAATTTATACATTGATTTTACAGTTGTAATTAATATATGTATATTCAATATTTCAAACTAATGTAACTGACTACGATCAGAGTGATCTGGATATATGGTTATATTATATGGTTATCTTATCGTATGATTGTGTATTGTAGTAATATGATGTATTATATGTTGCAGGGGTTTTTTTTTATTGTATTAATAAAACTGTGAAGAAAAAGAACACGGGAGTTGTTTTGATGAGGTTAAAGACAACTATTACAAATCTACAACATATTTCAAGCAAGAGTTCCAAACGGCTTGCATCCCTCCACTGCTTTTCCTTCGCTGATATTGCTTTTTGTCTAAACTAAAGGAAAAGGGATTCCAAAGATTTATATCTATTTTTTCAGCTGCAGCTCAACCATTTGTTCAAAACCACATTCACCCAAAAATGTTTGGACAAAATCTAATCATTTCTGCAGAAAGTGGAAGATTTTCTAGAATTTGGTAAACTTAAGTTTTTGGGTCTTGCCCCTCGAACACTCTTTATACAAAATTAGCTTCCCTTCACCCAAGAATATTTTCCAAAATCCGCTAAAAAGCAAAGATGATATCGTTGGTTGGTTGGTTTGGCATGTTGTTACTTACATTTGAGATATTTCTTGAAACATTTCGCACACTGATACATCTACTGCCTATAAGTAAACCGATGATATTTGCCATTAAAACCTGAATCAATGTAATGAAAAAGTCTAATGTTTCTGACAGATTTATTGGCGATAACGCCCCTCTTAGAATAACTCTGCAATCTTCACACTTCTATTGTTGTAACAACAACGATGCACAATAGTGTGGAACTATAAATTGTGATATCATGTTATATCAATGTTTGTGTACGTGTAAATATATAAAAGGTCTATTACCCACCCCTGACCTCAGATGCACATGCACATTGTACTTGAAATTGGAAGTATTAATTTTAAGAACTTTTTAGTCTTGTACAGCTGGACCTTGGTATAGTAGTATTGTTGTTGTGGCTGCATCACACGTCTGTTTCGGTACAATATGCCTCCACTTACCACAATATTTCAGACAATCTATTTTCTTGAACTTAGTATTTTTCTCTCACTATAATTATAGATTTTCCCCTCAGCACTTTTGGAAATAAATTACAAAACTTCAATATTAAAGATAACATACAAAGAGTGTCGTTTATTTTTCTTTTAAATGCGCAAACAATTGGAGTGTCTACGAAGTCGGCTATCATCAAACCAAACATTGAGGGTTGATCAATTCAAACCCCCAAATAAAAAGATTATGCAAATTTTAATGCATGTACTGTGTATGAGAGGTGGATGAAAGTGATTGGATAAGAGTGACCCACACTTTGACCCTGCATGACCCTGTCCTTGCACGTGAAGTTTCCCAAATTTTCTGACCTGAGTGCAAATTCGGATAACTGTGTGCAAGGCCGCTATAATTTTAACAACATACATCCTGTGAATCAGTATCAGTGAAAACCACGAATGAATCTCTCCAACGTTTGGGTGTGTGAAGCCGATATATGTATGACTCAAGTTGGTATTTGTTATAGATCCAAAGTTGAATTACCTTAAATAACTGAGACATAATGAAGAAATATACCGTGATCCTAATTTTGTAATGATGGAAATTGTTCTTAGCTCGTTGTTTTCTATTCAGCTAAATGTAATGATTTACATAAATCTGATTGAACTAAGTAAAAGATTCATGGATTTACTGGTACGATTTCTCAGAAAACTATGCCGACATTCCTTACCGCTAAATTGTTTTAATAAGATAAATACCACTACTGAATACTATACATCTTATTTTCACATTTCGGAATTACACAAATGTTGATTTTTTTTCTTTTGTAATTGATTAATAAGACAACTAAGTGCTTTCATTGCATTTACAACCTACGAAGAAACAAATTCCAAATAAGAAATTGAATGTCGGTTCCTACATCATAGACATAAAACAATTTGTTCCATCGATAGGAAGTGACCATCCTATCTCAATAGGGATAAAATTTCATATAACGACTTATTGAAGTGTATCATCATTCTTGGTAATCCTCAGTCAAGAGTTAATATGTGACCCTGGCTTCCTCTTCTAACCCACCAGGGACTTGTTGTTTTACATATTGTTATGGCCCAGCAAAACCTATATGTAGTTGGCATCGTCCTGCATCTGCTACAGCCTCTCGACTTTCGTTACCAGTAGTATTGTTTACTGGAGTTTAATGAAAATATATATTTATATTGTATTAAAGATGATAAAAAATGCAGTGTCAATCAGGGTAATCCAGAGAAATGTTTGGATAATTGTATTTCCGTATATTAAATAAAAAGGAATTAATACACTCGGTATAGGGTTGACCAAGATATATATGGCGAGTGTCGTCAATGAAGCAGAAGACGCCTACTCTTCTGGAACACCAAGTCTTTACCTCCTTCAGTCCCCGTGCAAATATCCCCTTCGTTTATATTTTGCCCTCGTTTTATTGATAATCAGTTTGAATAACAATTGAACCTGTTGATGCTCCTGTTATTCTTGCGGTGAATAGACAAGACCGAGATTTAATATGGTTATTTACTGATACATAATCAAATAACCATTATTTTGCTGTGTAACAAGTATGTACTGTTTGTCTTGTTTTCACGGCATTTAACGTCAGCCAGAGTCATATGAGTTAAGAGAGGCAATGTGAGTTGAAAATAATTTAGCAAAGAAAGAGCAAGACAAGCTAGAGAGGAACAGAAGGAACAATATCAAGATTTCAAGTGTTTCCATGGAGGCAACAGGTCTATTAAAGTATCTTCCATGTCCCCTCAGTAGAATGGACGTGAGAAACCAACAATTTTGCAGGGTAACAAGCTGACAAGAAAGAAAATATTTAGTAGTTATTGCTTGTATACCTACTTATATGAGGAAATAGCACACGTACATAGCATGTATTGTACAACGGAGTGGATACATCCGAAAACAGGGCCTTGTCAAACTAAAAGTAGTTTCCGTCGTAAGCAAATGACGTGGTCGATATTTGTGTTCACAGACCGGGAATGACTAAGGACTGACATATCATCTTTTTTATTATTGTTTGATATTTTATCAAAATGACTATCATGCTCACTCAACACATTTGAACGTGATATAAGACTCCTGTCGCCCAAATGACTGTAATCATGCATTTTAAATAATTTCTATAACCCCCTTTCTTTATATGTGATCAACAATTCTGAAACATTACATGACACGTGTTCATGATATAGAATATTGGTTTATTGCAATGAATGCCTTTCCACTTTAATATTTTAACATTATAAAGAATAAGATGTAGAGTATATTAGTTTATATTAGTTAACAATGAAGCCTAATTGGGAGAGAAGTTTTAACAAGAGACAAAGTCAATTCCAAAAATGGCGGTCGCCATGTCGCTATGTTAATTAATGACATTTTCAGTAGGAAGCAGTGCACTAGATGGTAGTTAATCACCAGTTAAGACAAACAATACACCAAAGTTCAATGAGAAACTCGGCAGCAAACACATCCGTTACTGGCATTGATTTCATCCGTTTTTCATATAAATTATTCATTCTGGAGTTAAGTCGCAAGCTGGAAGTCAGGTATGTTCTATATACTTCTTAGTATCAGCAAAGACACATAAGTGAACCAAAGAGTTTCATGAAATATTTATCATTACTGTTTTTCGTAAGCTATCTATCCTGGATGGTCAGGTATAAAAATGACAAATACAATTTTGTAACGATACTTTAATATACCTTTAGTTCAAACGATTTGATATCTTTTATTTCTAGTTTCTCTATAAAACTTTTCCTATATTTTGTTTTACTTCTTAAGGTAACAAATTTCTATATTCAATGATTTTTTTTAATATTCCATTGTTTGTCAATTAGTTTTATATTGTTATTTTTCCTCTGTATGTAAATAGCTCATTTCGGTGCCTTTTAATGATGGACGTTTTTTATTGTACACCTGTGTTGAATTATTGTCAGTTTTTTTTATGTAAATATTAAAAGGATTTGTATAGTAAAATGTTAGTAAACAATATCTATCAATAAGAAAATGCCGACTAATAACAGAGGTCGCGGTGGCCAAGAATCAGACGTCTAAGTATATGACTTTCCCTCCACCTCTACGTCGCTGGATATAGGTGTCCGGTGGTGTTTCTACTGATTTGGGACACCCAATGAATATAGAATTCTTCAATTATTACAAAAAAAACACTGTCAAATATTCTCTAAGATATATGTTTATCTTATGTGTGTTTATGCTTTTTTCTAGCTATTTATTTGTGACATTTCATTAATGAAATAACGTCACATTCTCTATACATTGACCAGGTGGCAAAATCTTCCAACAGACTAGCAGCATACCTATGGGAACTAACTTGGCTGATTTGTTTTTGTTGTCATACGAGGCTGAATTTATTGAAGAGCTTATCAAAGACGTTTAATTCCACTTTCATATATTTTGTTAGTTATTGATGACGTCTTGTCTTTAAATAACAAGAACTTTATTAACCACGTCCATCGTTTATATCAACCAGAATTGAAATCAAAGACACGACAGACTCTTCTACATCAGCTTCCTATCGATCTTTTCCTACAACGATACCAACACTGACAGCTTTCCACTGAGCTGTATGATAACAGTAATGGTTTCAATTTTCCTATGGTTAATTTTCCATTTCTGAATAGTAATAATCCTGCATCTCCATTCTATTGTATATACATGTCAAAGCAGATCCGTTATTCAGGAGCCTGTTCCAATGATCACGATTTTCATGCAAGAAGTCGTCAACTGACGAACAAACTCATAATACAGGGTTTCAAAAGATGTAGGTTGATGAAAACTATGGGAAAGTCTTATGGTCGCCATAGTGATCTCATTAAGAATTATTCTTCTTTGTGTGATATGAAGCTGGATTTGTTTGATGGTCATTAGTTTGCCTGCTGGTTCCATTGTTGTATACATTGTTCTTATTTGGGAACATGACATCGCTTACTTGGATTGATCAAGGTTTACATGGCGGGTACCGTTGATGAAGCAGAAGACACTCTTCCGGAAAACATGGACTTTTTCTCCTCATACTTTTACATTAGTCTTCGTGTAAATCTTTTATTCGTATTGTGCACTAGTTTTGTGGAATTTGACTTTGGATTATGATTATGTTAACATGTTGGTTTTCTTACATTAATATCGTCCAGTTTGGATTTTCCTCAATCGCCTCCCAGTTCTCAGCAATTTACGCCTTTAGCAACACTGACGCTTCCTTCAAGGGCGAAACGGTTTAATTCATTCATTATTTTCATTATCTGGCAATACTAAAACTTCTTCTTAATTTGTATTGAAAATTGTTATTCACTTTGTGTGCCTTGTACAGTTTTAGAAGAAATCTTCATGAGAAGGGATCCAATCAACCATTAAACATAGCTGTTATGAATATTTCTTGTACAGTTCTGTGAAAACAAACCCTTTATCAAATACAGTATATTTTCCAAAACTAAACATCGGAACTTACAAATCCAAATTATAACAGTCACATATAATTATTGTTCTCTCTCGGGATACAATCCTAATAATGTTTTGTGTGGAACATGGACAACGATCTCCGATAAACAACAATTTTATTCAGGATTATATGGACGCCTGAAGGATACAACGTGATTCATAAAGAACAAGCGTTTCACTGATTAGAGTTTGGGTAGTACTAAATACCAGGACATAATACTAATCTAGTACTATACAAAACAATTAATAGGATTCTAAATTGGTCAAACATGTAGAAGATAGAGCACGGGGTGTCCATAATTTCAGATCCCCTTCCTCCTCTTGAATTTGACCAATCGTAGCACTAGCTGACCACGATGATGGCGAAATCTAGCAAGAAAAGTATAAAATTCTTTAGTTCAGTACACACTAGAATATACCAAGGACTAGTTATTAATTCAGACTGCCAACACTCTGCAACAATATAGAGATCGATTTCCCTTCAAAAGCATCTCAAAATATTTCCTCATACAAGAGGGTTCTCAATTCGGTAGACAAAATCCTTTCTTTCTGAGTAGACCTGAATTTACTCAACATTAAAGCTGCCGTTAACGTTATTTTTAATGCCTATCCCAGCCTGACTTAATTCATGGTTAACTCACTCCTTAGTTAAATACATTCCAACTGTAAGTCTACATATGTTTAATTTTTTTTATATGTTTATATTCTGAACTGATTTCAAAATACATTCAAGCTCATCTTTTACCTTAGACATGACACATTTCTTGTAAGAAACATCTAGTGGTAATGATGTGATCAGAACTAGTTCAGGGCTAAGTTTTAGTAGATTTCTTGTCGAAATATATACTTTTAAACACTCATTGATATATATTTTAATATCATATGTTACTAGACAAAGCAAACAGACTTTAATACATGGGTACCGCACGTTGTGTATAAAATGGTACATCTTTTTTTCAGGTCGATACGCTGTGTGTGATACCAGATTGTCGACGATGAAGTTTTCCGTGCTGATAGTGTTCGTCATAACATGGTCAACAAGTCAAACACAGGATATTAGCTGTGTTCCTCAGGAAATTTCGTCTTACTCACTAAACTGGTGAGTCAGGTCCCGTGGATACAATTTACAATTATCATGGCTAAAATGTTGTCAGCTAAAAAAACCGTGTTGCATTTTTCCTTCTGTTATAAAAAAACCCATTCGATGCATTTATGTTTGTAGTTTTCTTTATGAGTATGAATGATTTCCATCAGGGGCAACCTGCTTATCGTGACAATCAATTGCAGACTGTTGATAAGTTACTATCTACAGAATTCTTGTACAATAAACTAGTGAAACCAAAACAACAATTACATCTTTCGCCTGTAACCTGTTTACATTGAGAATTGATTAAATCAATAGTGTATTTCAGTATTTCAGAGCATTGTCAATAACATTCTGCCTGTATGAAACTACCAGATCGTTTTGAAAACAAACTTTGAGGGTATTGCTTTTTAATGTTTCAAAAGTTCAATTTAATATATAAAAAGGTAATAATACGATAAAAAAAACCTGTTAGTGAGTGCTTCAGTTATACTGCGTACATACAGGGATATAGTTACGTGTCATGATATCATGGTTCTTAGCATCTACTTGTTAACACGAGAAAACACTAGCACGCCCACACATTCTAAGGAGAGGGGTGGCGACTGGGATACTACCATTGGAAAAAATCGACGATTTGATTTGTCAACTCAAGTCAATAAAACATAACCACCATGACTCATTGAACATTTCTGGTCAACTAGCGAATACTTCACTATTTACGGCGGGTTTTCTTCAAAACCTCCAAATAATTGTTCAATATGTAATCCGAAGAATTTTTTCTGAATGAATCTTTTTCCCTTTTTTTTTTTTTTTTTTTTTTAATTTTCGATTAGCAAGTTGGAATAAAAGAGATGGAAAGATAAAGGTCGGAAGTTGATTTGGGAAATGGATTAATATTTGTTTAAGTGCGTGAACAAGGACACAAATTCATAGACAAAGGCCACTCAGACCAAATCGATTTCATTAACAAACGAAATGAGCAGATATTGCTTGTATTGTCATCATGAACAACACGTTTTTTATTAATAACTAGGTAAGAAAAAATAAACGACTGAATATTCAGTGAGTAATTTCTTTAGAAGTATTTAAATACAAGGTATTTCGAATATGCAAATTACATGAACTGTAGTGCGTTTTTGTGAATTGTTTATTGAATTCTTTCTCCTTTACCAGTCGATACTGTTAAGGATGTTTATATGTTATAATTCTAACCCCTTTACTTTCATTTTCTGTGTAAGACATCATCAGTGTTGTTATGTTTCTATGTTGTAAGAGATTCAGCGCAAAATGTCAAACTATTTCTTCTGCTTTAGCTCATCCATAAATTCGGTGTACCTTAGCTGTGCCTGCAATGTCTACAAGACGTCCATTTTGGAAATCATGGTAAGATCTGTCAAAATATTCATCATAATACAATATCTTTTCGTATCTGAAAACAAATATTATTTTGTAATTAGTCGAAATGAATTTCAGCATGTTGCTCAGCAGAAACTTTCTTATTCAAAATGAATGATATATCAAAACTCCAAGCAGTAATATTGATAGATTAGTATAATTCACATGAACTACACATTGATATGTGTACCTAGTTATCCAACACTGGTATCAATGCATTTGGATTGTACTGACAATACCTTTCTTCTGTCAGGGCACTCTCTCGTGTCTCCTGCCAACTGTCTCTGCAACCTCCGAGATTCAATCACAGGTGAATCAGTTACTTGATATGGTCACCGAGGATCCAACCGCCGTTATAAAGTCAGTTATCGAGAATCAAATAATTCCTCTAGCAGGATTGAACACACTTGCTTCCCCTGCAGCTCTGGTGGACCCAAGCAAAGGATCATCACTCGAAACGGTTTCGATGATATTGAACATCACTGAGAGAATTGGAGAAGACGTCTTCAATAAAATGTGCACGTAAGTAATGCATACAATTGATAAAAAGGGAACCGAAAAGGTTTGTGTTTTATAGAACAAGGGAACCGGAAAGGTTTGTGTTTTATAGAACAATGGAACCGGAAAGGTTTGTGTTTTATAGAACAAGGGAACCGGAAAGGTTTGTGTTTTATAGAACAAGTATAAGGATAGAGTCAATGCATTGGAAGTTTAGTGATGATAATGTATTGTAGTGTGTTATAAGTGAATTATATGACACAGGTGTAGATGAGTTTGATATCATATAATAGGTATAACATAGGTATGGTGCGATAATTGTTTCAATTATCATCACTAGTGTGCAACAGTCCCTGAGTAAATTTGCTTCATCTACAACAAACCAGTTTTGATAACATAAATAAGTAACATTTTAGTATAAAAACACCTATTTCTTTTATAAATAATGCATTTGTTAGATCATTAACAAACCCATGTGTTTGTGCCTTCCACGCATGATATAACAAAATGACTGGATCTGCCTTTCACGTATGTATCCGCTAGCACTATGTTTGTTGTCCATCTCGGTATAACATGCTGACAGTATGGTCGGCGTAGTTTCAAATATCGTAAATGGAAGGATCACTGTACCCATGTGGAAGCGCTGTTTTTGTGACGATAATGAGTTACGGTTCTCACATTCGATCTTGAAAAACAACAAATTTGAAAGATCGATGAATAATTCATAAAAGTGTAATATGAAGCTCAAATTTCACCTTTTAAAAAAAAATGTGTTTCTTCGTGTCTCTTGTAGTAATGTCGATCAACTGTCACAATGTGTGAATTCAAATTTCATGAGTTCAGTCACACCTGACGATCTGACCTTGAAAGCCATTTTTAACCTTGACCAAGTGGGAACTTTTCTTACCAGCATGTGTGCAATGAAAAGCGGTAAGTTAATTGAAATTGAGAACATATCTAAAAAGGCACTGTTTTGCTGTGACAGATAAACTGTATGTTGTGACCAGTTGATAAACTGTATGTTGTGACCAGTTGATAAACTGTATGGTGTGACCAGTAGATAAACAGTATGTTGTGACCAGTAGATAAACTGTATGGTGAGACCAGTAGATAAACTGTATGTTGTGACCAGTAGATAAACTGTATGGTGAGACCAGTAGATAAACAGTATGGTGAGACCAGTAGATAAACTGTATGGTGAGACCAGTAGATAAACTGTATGTTGTGACCAGTAGATAAACTGTATGTTGTGACCAGTTGATAAACTGTATGGTGTGACCAGTAGATAAACAGTATGTTGTGACCAGTAGATAAACAGTATGGTGTGACCAGTAGAGAAACTGTATGGTGAGACCAGTAGATAAACAGTATGGTGAAACCAGTAGATAAACTGTACGTTGAGACCAGTAGATAAACTGTATTGTGTAGCAAGTAGATAAACTGTATGGTGAGACCAGTAGATAAACTGTATTGTGTAGCAAGTAGATAAACTGTATGGTGAGACCAGTAGATAAACTGTATTGTGTGACCAGCAGATAAACAGTATGTTGTGACCAGTAGAGAAACTGTATTGTGTGACCAGCAGATAAACAGTATGGTGTGACCAGTAGATAAACTGTATTGTGAGACCAGTAGATAAACAGTATGGTGAGACCAGTAGATAAACAGTATTGTGTAGCAAGTAGATAAACAGTATGTTGAGACCAGTAGATAAACAGTATGGTGAGACCAGTAGATAAACAGTATGGTGAGACCAGTAGATAAACAGTATGGTGAGACCAGTAGATAAACTGTATTGTGTAGCAAGTAGATAAACTGTATGTTGAGACCAGTAGATAAACAGTATGGTGAGACCAGAAGATAAACAGTATGGTGAGACCAGTAGATAAACAGTATGATGAGACCAGTAGATAAACAGTATGGTGAGACCAGTGGATAAACAGTATGGTGAGACCAGTAGATAAACAGTATGGTGAGACCAGTAGATAAACTTTATGGTGAGACCAGTATATAAACTGTATTGTGTAGCAAGTAGATAAACAGTATGTTGAGACCAGTAGATAAACTGTATTGTGTAGCAAGTAGATAAACAGTATGTTGAGACCAGTAGATAAACAGTATGGTGAGACCAGTAGATAAACAGTATGGTGAGACCAGTAGATAAACAGTATGGTGAGACCAGTAGATAAACAGTATGGTGAGACCAGTAGATAAACAGTATGGTGAGACCAGTGGATAAACAGTATTGTGAGACCAGTAGATAAACAGTATGGTGAGACCAGTAGATAAACAGTATGGTGAGACCAGTAGATAAACTGTATGGTGAGACCAGTATATAAACTGTATTGTGAGACCAGTAGATAAACAGTATGGTGAGACCAGTAGATAAACTGTATGGTGAGACCAGTAGTTAAACTGTATTGTGTGACCAGTAGATAAACTGTATGGTGTGACCAGTAGATAAACTGTATGGTGTGACCAGTAGATAAACAGTATGGTGAGACCAGTGGATAAACAGTATGGTGAGACCAGTAGATAAACAGTATGGTGAGACCAGTAGATAAACTGTATGGTGTGACCAGTAGATAAACTGTATGGTGTGACCAGTAGATAAACTGTATGGTGTGACCAGTAGATAAACAGTATGGTGAGACCAGTGGATAAACAGTATGGTGTGACCAGTTGTTAAACCTTCAATGTTTTGATTGAAAGGTGTTTGGTTCATCGCTATTATCGGTGTCTGAAATAGCGTTGGTGAAAATGTTTTCCATAAAATAATTTATCGTGAAAATATTGTCCTTTTAAATCTTCTGAAAAAAAACACGACCGAGATAATTATGCGATGTACTTAAAACCCAACACATTGCGAGAGAGATACTAATCACCGGCGTCTCCTAGAAAGCATGTGTCGACTTTTTTTTGATGATTGATTTTTTAGTGATTTTGAATTAAATGAAATGTATTTTCAATGTTTCAGACTTGTATGGCCAGACTTCTTGTCTATCCAATATTATACTACCCCTTGGTATATGTGCCTATCTGCCCAACATATGGAATCAGAGTCCCCCAGAGTTCCCATTGTTAAGTGGGAAAGCCATTTCGGACGTTCAATTCAGCTACTATTGTCCGTAAGTATTTAATATTTTACACCCTTCGTATTAAAATAATTTGATTCATTGAAACATTATCTTTTGTTTTTTACATTTACACATAGAGGAAAATCAATTGTCTACGCGAATTAAAGAAAGTAATTAATTCATTGGAATAGTGCAATATCGTCCGAAATACAACTCTCAGCTTGTCCTTTTGATTCAAAACCAGTACGATTATTACCTTAGAGCAGCAACAACCTGTATCGCAAACATTTCCGGTTTAAATGTTTACCATTTCCCAAGACCTTTCCAAATATACGATTTGATAAAAACATCTAATATATCGTAGGGCAGTCAGCAACAGTAAAATACATTTTTCAAGTTTTGTATTCATTTTGAAAATTGAAAATGCTACAAACGTATGCAGAGATAATTTTAGGTTTTTTACAGACGAAATTTACTGAAACGTTTTGTGTTCTGTTGTTTGAAAGTCAAATCATTGAGTTTAAAGCTGGAATAAAGATTAATGGATCAATACATACTACACTATAAGTCTTTTGCTACATCTCTTTATCAGTGTTGCGGGAGACTTTCTCCAATGTGCTGCCATCCAGATGGACACTTGCAGTTCAAACCTTGGGACAATAATCAAGACCTTGACTAGCAACCTGCTAACAACATCGTGTAGTAACCTCGCATTGGAGGGGACTCAGTACCCAACAGCATCCCCGTTTTTATTCTGTGGAATTCCACATGTATCTAAGGCTTTCCCAATAATATCGACGATTGAAGGCATCACAAGTACTCCTACAACCTCCCAAATACAGGCGATAGCTGAACGTGTCATCTCCCTCGGATGCGAGTGAGTTATAAGTGGGAAACAAATAAATAAGGGAAATATTGATTGCATCAAGAAATATCAAAGTATTCGCAATACTATATATGAAGTCATTGGACACCAGATAGCAATACTGTTTAAAACATTAAAACATAACTTAAATTAATGCAGTGTGATATCGGTCTAAACAGTCTGGAATAACGTGCTAAAATGTTGGTGTGCTTAATAGCCGATTAAGGACAGACTTGAACTATTTTGATTTCCAAAATAGTAAATATATTTTTTCAAGTTTTATAAATCACTTTCTTCATGTTATTCATTACTAATAGTAGCCATGTCTGGAATTCTGCTCACAACCCTTCGGGTTTCTGCAAGAGACATTTTGAAGTATTTATGAGAGAAATTTCTCAGTATTTACCTCAAGGAAGTTTTTGAACCACAATTTGTTTTATATATAATATATATATACAAAAGCTTTTGATATGGTCTTGCTGAACGAAAAACTATAGAATTCATGCTTTATTCTCAATATCCATTCACAGCATTCTTCCTGACTACTTCACGTGTGTTGTCGAGGAACTTCCGTCATCCAAGAGTAGATATGACCTCTTCATTCAGGAATTAATTGACGTCAAACAATTGACTTATGGACGAGCCATTGCTAACCTAATGTGCCAGAAAGATAGAATCACCGGTACGGAGGAATTTGTCTCTTTCCATGGTTTGATTTAACTGGCTGTAAAATTTTAGTCCATCAGCACAATTAAGGTCACTTAGAGCCAACATTTTGTGAGTATGTCTACAGTAGTCACGCAGACAGATGAACAAATATTCAGAAGAGGGGGAATTTTGGAAAAATGTATGCTTTCATCCAAGCACACAATGTCAGTCACCAGCTACACAATTCAATACCAATTTTTTCCTGTTGTCTCGGAGGTGTTAATTACTTGTACGTTAATTTCTTGCTGTGGAATATCAGTCAGTAGTAAGTTAAAATACATGATCCCATGGTGATCTACAGACAGTTTATCTAAGTTGGGTTTCCAATTAAACTCACCCCCCCCCCCCCCCCCCCAAAAAAAAAAAAAGAAAGAAAAATCAATCCAAAATGCGGTCATGGGAAAAAATTGGGGGTTTATTTTATGAAAGTTCAAGACACAAAATTGAAGAGCCCATTTCAATTAAAGTTTATAATTAGATATAACATAATGAAATAACTAAATTAATGTATCCGTGAACGATGACTCAAACCCTAAAATAAAAATAGTTCTCTTAACATATGTATAACTCGCTCGATAACATTATATCACCTAATTGCTCCATATTGGAATAAAAGACGAGCTTATCATCAAACCTCTCTCAGGAGGATCGGTCAACATTTTGCTTGCTATGGATTCTAACTTCCACCTTCCTGTGATCAATGCCTCTACATTTATCAAAATGAGAGAAATGATATTATAGAAGTTGTTAAATTCTGAAAATGCACTCTGATAACCCTGTTTGTGATGCCACCAGATGGCGTCCAAAGTTCTGTGACGTCAAGAACTTCCCAGGTATAGACTGTGAAATCATTGTGGTAGAATCCATCTGTCAATCAATTTTAAGGTCGATAAATAGGCATGAAAATAGTCTTATGATATTGTTTTTTGTTATATCATTAAACAAGATTTTACAAATGTTAATAGCTGGTAATTTTGGCATCTTTAATTCCAGCGATTTCAAACATGCTTCCTTGTATAATGACCAAAGCGAACGAAATCGAGGCTTGTTTTACCGCGAATCGCACTGCGGTATTTGACAGTTTCAACATCACCAACCTTGTCCATGATGCCAACAATGACCGACAACAATTTTGTGGGTAAGATATCTGTAGCTACCATCGATAAACAGTCATCAAATGTTGTACGACCATCGTCCATATTGTTAAATGTAAATGACGTCATAATCTGAAAATCGACTGTTTATTTTTATCGTTAAAAGACATGAATACTTGTGGAGAGCATGCACCGTTTTTAACACTATGGACGGGCAATTAAAGATACTAAAGTATTATTGTTATAGGAGACAAACTCGAGCTAGTCGACTTTTATAAATATTTGCTGTCGTTAAATGGCCTACTATTCTAATAAGTCTTTCACAATATTTCAGGCCCATCAAGGACATCGCCATGTGTTTCATTGACAACGCGTTAGTACCGTGTGACTCCAATGTTGGCGATTTCGCCAGGGAAACCTACCATTGGTTGATGCAGACGGAGTGTTATGGCGCCAGAAACGGTTCCTACCAGCAAGTCATTGATCTACAAAGCAGTGGCAGTCCAGTCGCCTTTAACAATGCCAGGATCTCCTGGATAGGTGTTCTGCTTCTTAGTATCATATTGTATTTATCTTAACATGTTAACTTTAAAGTGTTAGACTGTTCAGTCTAGGACTTGTGTGGTTCGACATATTATTGTCATGATCGGTGGATATAAAAAGATACAAATCTAACACAGTAATATCCACATTAATCTAAACAAGCCGACAACTGTAAGGTTTTCATAAAACACTCATCATTTCACGAATCAACCTATGGATAATGACTTTGAAAAAAAAATTATAGAACTTGTAGTTGATATTTAGTACCACCATAATAGTGTGACCATTATGAAATCTTTACTCTACCAAACACGGATTGTCGTACTCGTCATAAAATACCAGAACTGTCATGAACCTCATGATGCGATGCTTGCAACGTAAACTACCTCATACTGAAAGTAATAATATATCAGTCATGTACCCCGTGGTTAAGGGACTTCATAGACATCACGATGGAATAATATAAATATTATATCACTTACCATCCATAAGTACCCTTCCTCGCCATATAATGTTCATTAATTAGCTTACTATACTTACTATCATTAATTTCTATTTTCGTCACAGTTACGTCATTCATAAAGATCGAAATATATTTATCATGACTAATTTCTTCACTATTAACTTTATCTAGGAATTAGAAGTTTCTTTTTTTCAATATCAATAACTTTACAAACAATGAATTATCGTAACAGAGCAAATACACAGAGCAAGCAAACAGTACAAGCAGAGTACAAGTACACAGAGCAAGTACACATAACAAGTACACAGATCAAGTATACAGTACAAGTACAGAGAGCAAGTATACAGTACAAGTACACAGAGCAAGTATACAGTACAGGTACACAGAGCAAGTATACAGTACAAGTACACAGAGCTAGTACACAGTACAAGTACACAGAACAACTACACAGTACAAGTACACAGAGCAAGTATACAGTACAAGTACACAGAGCAAGTACACATAGCAAGTACACAGAGCAAGTATACAGTGCAAGTACACAGAGCAAGTATACAGTACAAGTACACAGAGCAAGTATACAGTACAAGTACACAGAGCTAGTACACAGTACAAGTACACAGAGCAAGTATACAGTACAAGTACACAGAGCAAGTATACAGTACAAGTACAGAGAGCAAGTATACAGTACAAGTACACAGAGCAAGTATACAGTACAGGTACACAGAGCAAGTATACAGTACAAGTACACAGAGCAAGTATACAGAACAAGTACACAGTACAAGTATACAGTACAAGCACAGTACAAGTACACAGAGCAAGTACACAGTACAAGTACACAGAGCAAGTAAACAGAACAAGTACACATAGCAAATACACAGAACAAGTACACAGAACAAGTACACAGCAAATATACAGTACAAGTAAACAGAGCAAGTACACATAGCAAGTACACATAGCAAATATACAGTACAAGTATACAGTACAAGCACAGTACAAGCACAGTACAAGTACACAGAACAAGTACACATAGCAAGTACACATAGCAAATATACAGTACAAGTATACAGTACAAGCACAGTACAAGCACAGTACAAGTACACAGAACAAGTACACATAGCAAGTACACAGTACAAATACACAGAGCAAGTACACATAGCAAGTACACAGTACAAATACACAGAGCAAGTACACATATCAAGTACACAGAACAAGTACACATAGCAAGTACACAGAGCAAGTACACATAGCAAGTACACAGTACAAGTACACAGAGCTAGTACACAGAACAAGTACACAGTACAAGTACACATAGCAAGTACACATAGCAAATACACAGAACAAGTACACAGTACAAGTATACTGTGCAAATACACAGAGCAAGTACACAGTACAAGTACACAGAGCAAGTTCACAGAGCAAGTACACAGTACAGGTACACAGAGCAAGTACACATAGCAAGTATACAGTACAAGTACACAGAGCAACTACACAGTACAAATACACATAGCAAGTACACAGTACAAATACACAGTACAGGTACACCAAACAAGTACACATAGCAAGTACAGAGTACAAATACATTACACAATGCTAGTACATACACAGTACAAGTACAAGTACACAGAACAAGTTCACAGTACAAGTACACAGAGCAAGTACACAGAACAAGTATACATAGCAAATACACAGAACAAGTACACATAGCAAGTACACATAGCAAGTACACAGAACAAGTACACATAGCAAGAACACAGAGCTAGTACACATAGCAAATACACAGAACAAGTACACATAGCAAGTACACATAGCAAGTACACAGAGCAAGTACACATAGCAAGTACACAGTACAAATACACAAAGCTAGTACACAGTACAAGTACACAGAACAAGTACACATAGCAAGTACACAGAACAAGTACACAGTACAAGTACACAAAGCTAGTACACAGTACAAGTACACAGTACAAATATACAGAACAAGTACACAGAACAAGTTCACAGTACAAGTACACAGAGCAAGTACACAGAACAAGTATACATAGCAAGTACACAGAGCTAGTACACATAGCAAATACACAGAACAAGTACACATAGCAAGTACACAGAGCAAGTACGCATAGCAAGTACACAGAGCAAGTACACATAGCAAGTACACAGTACAAATACACAGAGCTAGTACACAGTACAAGTACACAGAGCTAGTACACAGTACAAGTACATGGTACAAGTACACAGAGCAAGTTTACAGTACAAATACACAGAACAAGTACACATAGAAAGTACACAGAAGAAGTACACAGTACAAGTACACAAAGCAAGTACACAGAACAAGTACACAGTACAAGTACACAGAACAAGTACACAGAACAAGTACACATAGCAAGTACACAGAACAAGTACACAGTACAAGTACACAGTACAAGTACACAGAACAAGTACACATAGCAAGTACACAGAACAAGTACACAGTACAAGTACACAGAGCAAGTACACAGAACAAGTACACATAGCAAGTACACAGTACAAATACACAGAACAAGTACACATAGCAAGTACACCTAGCAAGTACACAGTACAAGTATACTGTAAAAGTACACTGTACAATTACACAAAGCTAGTACACAGTACAAGTACACAGTACAAGTACACGGTACAAAGTACACTGTACAATTACACAAAGTACAATTACACAGTACAATTACACAGAGCAAGTACACAGAACAAGTACACAGTACAAGTACACAGAGCAAGTACACAGAACAAGTACACAGAGCAAGTACACAGAACAAGTACACAGAACAAGTACACAGAGCAAGTACACAGAACAAGTACACAGAGCAAGTACACAGTACAAGTACACAGAGCTAGTACACAGAACAAGTACACATAGCAAGTACACAGTACAAATACACAGAACAAGTACACATAGCAAGTACACCTAGCAAGTACACAGTACAAGTATACTGTAAAAGTACACTGTACAATTACACAAAGCTAGTACACAGTACAAGTACACGGTACAAGTACACAGTACAAGTACACGGTACAATTACACGGTACAATTACACAGTACAATTACACAGAGCAAGTACACAGAACAAGTACACAGTACAAGTACACAGAGCAAGTACACAGAACAAGTACACAGAGCAAGTACACAGAACAAGTACACAGAACAAGTACACAGAGCAAGTACACAGAACAAGTACACAGAGCAAGTACACAGAACAAGTACACAGAACAAGTACACAGAGCAAGTACACAGAACAAGTACACAGAGCAAGTACACAGTACAAGTACACAGAGCAAGTACACAGTACAAGTGTACAGATCAAGTATACAGTACAAGTACACAGAGCAAGTACACAGTACAAGTACACAGAGCTAGTACACAGTACAAGTACACCTATCTGAAGCTGGTGTAACTGTCTTGTCTCAACATGGAATACAGACAGTTGGGAGCATTGAACCATAAAGTACAGAGAATTCGTAACAATAGGATTTAAAATAAGACAAAAAATGGGGAAAGTATAACAAAATGTCAACAATTTGTAACAATATATATTGTAAAACACAGAAAAATTGGAAACAAAATGAAACATAAAGCAGAGAAAATATTCTAGTAAGTATTTAACATCCTTTATATAAAAATATAAGTTAACATTAAGTAAGAAAAATGGAGTAGAACCAACTGTGTATGATATAAAAGTAACGCAATGTCCAGAAAAATATGTAAATGTAAACAATGCAGAGTATAAGGCCACTCCCTTAAAGCACTTGGTAATTTATAATTACTTGTACCAGTCTTGTCCACAATACCTATGTGACACAACACATCTCCTGGCTGCTATATTGTGGTGATATTATAGTTACCCCACATGGTGCTTCTTAGGGCGTCGTATTATTAGTACCGCGAACATATTTATTATTGTGTATGTTCCAGAAATAGAACTAATACCTGATATTGTCAGTACTGTGTGTATGTTCCAGAAATAGAACTAATACCTGATATTGTCAGTACTGTGTGTATGTTCCATAGATAGAACTAATACCTGATATTGTCAGTACTGTGTGTATGTTCCAGAAATAGAACTAATACCTGATATTGTCAGTACTGTGTGTATGTTCCAGAAATTGAACTAATACCTGATATTGTCAGTACTGTGTGTATGTTCCAGAAATAGAACTAATACCCGATATTGTCACTGCTGTGTGTATGTTCCAGAAATAGAACTCATACTGATATTGTCACTGCTGTGTGTATGTTCCATAGATAGAACTCATACCTGATATTGTCAGTACTGTGTGTATGTTCCAGAAATAGAACTAATACCTGATATTGTCAGTACTGTGTGTATGTTCCAGAAATAGAACTAATACCTGATATTGTCAGTACTGTGTGTATGTTACAGAAATAGAACACATACCTGATATTGTCAGTACTGTGTGTATGTTCCAGAAACATGTTCCATAGATAGAACTAATACCTGATATTGTCAGTACTGTGTGTATGTTACAGAAATAGAACTCATACCTGATATTGTCAGTACTGTGTGTATGTTCCATAGATAG